ATTGATAAAATATAGATAAACTTATTAGGAAAACACAATATAATTACCACTTTCATAAAGAGGCATTGTTACTTAATACATATGTACAGACTTAAAAACATTATCTTTTAAAAATATTTTATTATTTTAGTGGAAGTGTACAAAAAGGCTGATTTTCATTCATATAGTTTCCTCCCTGCCTCTCCCCTCTATTCATTTTTAAATTCGTGTCCTGTTCCAGATGGTTAATTGTCATACACATTAATGTCTAATCATCAATTCCTTTCAGATCTTCCTTCCCTTCATCTACTTCAATGAAGCATTAATTCTGTATCCATTCTTTCCCTGCTCTGTTCTCACAGTATCCTTCTTGGGTTTATAATGGCAGTTTTATGCAGTAAATAAACTTTATCTTATATCAGTAAATTTGATGAATTTAAACAAAACCGTAATGTAAACATTTCTAAAAATTAATTATCTACGAATAACATTCCTACAAAGAAAACTCCTGTCTCTCTTGAAATTATTTGTGAATGTTATTGTTGTTAGGTATTATAAAGTATGATTCAAGTTACTTTATGAACAATAGATCTGAACCCTGCTCTGTTCTGTGTCTTCCTCACACCTCCTGACACCTTAGAACCCATCACAGTAGTCACCGTGCCAATCTACCTCGTCAAAGGTCTTCCTCTCCTTCACCAACCCTCTACCTTTCCAAGCATCCCTCTCCAAGAAATAGCCCCTTCTAGCAACATATTCGAAGTATCACATTTGCTCTCAGAGAGCACTCTGGCTGCATCCTCCACAAGATATACTTGTTTGTTCTCTTGGAAGTCCATGGGATGTTCAGTACTCTTCTCCAACACCACCACACAAAAGCATCAATTGTTTGTCTATCATCCTTATTCACTATCCAGCAGCAAAAGCATAGCAAGTTGTCAGAAAGACCATGGCACCTTAGTCCTCAAAGTTGAAACACTTGTTTCAGTAGTCAAAAATGATAGCCAGCTTAAAAATGAATACTGCATTGGAACAGATGAAGGAAAAGAAATATTTAAAAGGAATATATGGTTAAGCATTATTTGTATGACAACAGTCCAGAATAAGAAGTGCATAGCAGAGTGGACTGGAGAAGGAGTGGGTGAGGGGGAAAAGTATGCAACAATGAATGATTTTTTTTAAAGCGAACTGGCAAGTGGGGTGGTCAGGGAGGAAAATGTTCAACAATGAATACCAACTTATTCTGTAAACTTTTGTTAAAAATATAATAAAGAAGGGTAAAAAAGACTATATAGCCTTCAATATGTATTGCATCTCAATGCCAAGGTATGAAGATTCTTACCATTGGACCAATTGCCAGCATCGTGATGTAGTAGTTGTTGTGTGCAATCGAATCCTTTGCGACTCATAGTGACCCTATGTACAAGAGCTCTAAACGCTGTTCTATCTGGTGTCAACCTAGCCATCTCAAGCTCACTTATTCCCATCGCTTCAGTCACAGAATTCATCCATCTCTTCGAAGGTCTTCCTCTCTTTCGCCGCCTCTCCACTCTGCAAAACATGATGTCCCTCTCTAAGAACCAATCCCTCCTTGCAACATGCCCAAAGTATGTCAGACGAAGCTTTAGAATCCTTGACACCAAGGAGCATTCCGGCTTCACCTTCTCCAGGAGAAACCTGTTTGTTCTCCTAGCAACCCATGGTATATTCAACACTCTTCTCCAGCACCACAGCTCAAAGGCGTTAAATCTTTCTCTATCAACCATATTCACTGTCCAACTCTCTGATGCCTAGGACTATAGCCTGGATCAGGCATACCTTAGTCTCCAGCCTGACATTATTGCTCTTCAGTACTTTTGAGAGGTCCCTCACAGCTGGCTTTCCCAATGCAATTCATCTCTTTATTTCCTGGCTGCTGTTACCAAGAGTGTTGATTGTGGAGCCAAGCAAACTAAAACTGTTAATTATCTCAACCTCTTCACCATCCATACTGATGCTGCCAGTTGGTCCAGTGGTGAGAATCTTTGTTTTCTTGATGTTGAGCTTCAATCCATATAAGAGGCTGCAGTCCTTGACCTTCTGCAGCAAGAGCTTCAGGTCTTCCTCAGTTTCAGCAAGCAGGGTTGTGTCATCTTCACAATGCAGATTGTTGATGACTCTTCCACCAATGCTGATGCCACATTCCTCTTCGTACAGCCCAGTGTCTCAGATGATCTGTTCTGCATACATATTGAAAAGATATGGAAACAGAATACATCCATGACGGACCCCTTTCTGGATTTTGAACCACGTAGTGTCTTCTTGCTTTGTTCTGATGACTGCCTCTTGGTCCAAGTATAGGTTTTGCATTAGCACAATAAAATGTTCTGGGATTCCCATTCGTCTCAGAGTCAGCTACAGCTTGTTGTGATCCACACAGTCAAAAGCCTTTGCATAGTCAATGAAGCACAGATAGACATTCTTCCGGTGTTCTTTGCTTTCTGCCAAGACCAATCTAACATTAGCTATAATATCCCTAGTACCACGACCTCTTCTAAATCCAGCCTGTACATCATGATAGACGGACAAAAGATTGAAACTGCCAACAATTCATCTTACTTCAATCCAAAATTGACACCTTTGGTAGTAGCAGTCAGGAAATTAGGAAACTTATTGCACTGGGAGGCTTGGTCTGGCATACTTTGGACATGTTGTAAGGAGGGACCAGTCCTTGGAGAGGGACATCATGCTTGGGAGGGTGGAGAGACGGCGCAGAAGGGGAAGACCCTCTATGAGGTAGATTGATTCAGTGACTGGGGTAATTGGGATGGGTGTGTCAGAAGCAGTGAGATTGGCACAGGGTAGAGCAGGGTTTAGGGCTGTTGTACTTAGGGTCGCTATGAGTCGCAGGCGACTCGATGGCACATAACAACAACAACAACAACAACAATTGCACTGGGAAAGTCTGCAGTTAGGGACCTCTCCAAATTGTTGAGGCGTAATAATGTCATTTTGAGGACTACGGTTTGAGTGAATACTGTCCTGTATATCAAATTCCCAGAAATTCCCCCAAAATGAGCACTTCCAATGTAATTTTCTAATTAGAGAACATTTTCCTATTTTCCTGAAATAGGCATTATAGTGATATCTTCATGTTCCTTACTTTAAAAAAAAAAAGAAATTATTTTCTCATGATTCTCTTGGAACTAATTGTTATCAAGTGTGAACCTACTTATAACTGACCCTCCACTGGGTTTTCAGAGGCTGTAAAATATAGAGGAGGAGAATGTTCAACTTCCTTGTAAAGAGCTAATATAGAATTTTGACCAGTATTATGGCAGAGTCTTTAGGTTGACAGTGTGACTTCCCATGGACTATGACCACAAGTACTCCTTTCAGAAAATCCTAAGTCAAACTCAACATTAAATAAAAATTATAACATGTTATTATCATGGAAAATTTATACTAGGAATCTACTGGCATGATAACATTCAACTTTCAGTATAATTCAACACATAACTAGTTATTGATGCTCTTTTCATTCTTTTTAAAATTCTCTACTCTGCTGTTTTATTTAAAATAATACTATTGCTATTTCAGGGAGATTTGGTAGCTTAGTTTGCAACAGTTGTGCAGCTCAGAGCCATGTGATTTGAATCCACCAGTTCCTCTGTGGGAGAAGGATGGACAGTCTCTTCCTGTGCAATTTACATCCCTAGAAAACCCACCAAATGGTCAACTATGAATCAGTTGCAACTCAATTACTTTTAAGAACATTATAACAATCAATATATTCTCAAATTCATTAACCTTTACTTCTGCAATATCTAATCTGCTTGAAATTGTAGCCTGTGGTCTTTTTAAGTCTCAGATAGTGTAGTTATCACATATTTTTCACCTAGAATTTTGTAGTTTTATTTCAAGAAATTTGATTTAGATATTATTATTAATTTTTGATGTTTTTTTCTTAAAATCCAATTCTTTTTATCTCTTGTTGAGCACATGGTATATAGTAAAAATCTCTCTGTTAATGTCATTGCCTACTAATTCTACTGTCTGTGTCATTTCTCAATATGTTCTTATGATTACGGATTACGTTTGTCATCATCAGAAGGGGTATTTTCTTTCTTTTCATCCCTTATGATGTTATGTTATTGTTGCTGTTGATATTGTGTACCATCAAGCTGGAACTAACCCATAGCTGACCGTCCAATGGGTTTTCAGAAGGAGTTAATCACACAGAAAGGAGGAGATTGCCCATCCTTCTCCTGTGGAGCAGCGGGTGGCCTGGAACCTCATGCCTTTGATTGCAGCACAGCTTCTTGCCACTAGAGCTCCCAGAAAACTTTGCTTTCGTTATGCACGGGGCAGGGGGTGGGGGTGGGGTGAGTAATTTTGTAGTCCCTTAAACATTTTTTTAATGCAGTAGCAGCATGATTAGATTCATATTTTGGAAATGAACTTGCTAACTCCAACTTTAAAAAGTCAAGGAGCCATTTTTAGTTGATTTGAGGAGCTCACTTTGAAAACTATCATAATAACTCTGGATAGAAACTATTAGAATTTCATTAGTTTCTAGCATTCAGATTCAAATTAATTATCTTTGTGTTTGAGCTGGCTCCTGGTTGACCCTCCAGTGAGCTTTCAAAGCATGCAAACCACGCAGTCGGACATTGCCATCTTTCTCCCAAGAAGCAGCTGGGAGACTTAAATTGCTTTCTTTTGCCAAGGCAACATAGCTCTCTCCCTAATAGGCTGCCAGAGCCTAGTAATTGTTGTTTACCATGAAATCAGAACAGATTCATAGCCGACCCTTCTGTATGTTTTCAGAGGAAGTAAATCACACTGAAGGAGATGCCCATCCTTTCCTTGCAGAGCATCTGGTGGTTTGGAACTGCATCCATTTTGAATTACAGCTCAGCTTATGAGGCCATCAGACTGGGCTTATCAAATGGCAAACAAACAGATAATAATTTCTTGTGTTGAACTGACTTTTTAAAAATCAACTAATAGCAGTTATTTGAAATATTTTTTGTTCACAGAATATTTTGTGTTGGAAAACAATTCTATGCTGAAGGAAGCTGTTCTGAAAAAGAAGATAGTAAAACCAGAAATTAAAATGCTCTATATTGAAGACTATGGTAAAGTTTGTGCATATTGTTCTTTAAACTTAAATTTCTATGCATCTTACAGTTATCCACCTAAATGATCCTTCCTTATTAATATTTTGCTCTTTCTTTGAAAGAACTTCCTTTACAGTTAACCTTTCCTAAAGATTTTACAGACCGAAACCAGTATGCTCTTCTGCTAATAATGTAAGTATTTTAATCTTTTCACAATTTAAAAAAATCTAATGATTTTATATATCTTTTCCTTCATGTAAAGCATTTTTAATAAAACAAACAACTGCTGAATTACTTTTTGTGCTGTTAACTGGGACAACTGTCATTTGTATATTTTCTCAAGGACACCATCGCTAAATTATGTCAAAGGCTGTCTAATTTTTATACTTCTTGCATCCAAAGTAGAATTTGTTGCTGTGCCTAGGAATGACGATGCCAGATAATTAGGTTTGTGAATACTTGCTTGGCAATTAGTCAAGCTCTATGCTCTCTATCACTGTTGATACAACTCAGAGGAAACAAAATCCATTTTTAAAACAATTGGTGGTATTTATGCTACTCCTATCTATTCCAGCTCCCTACCCTCAGTCGGAGTTCATGCAGAGAAAAATTCACTCTTGAAATTGACTTTGGAATTTAAATCAGTCATGCTTTCCAGAAAGTACTATTGTGGCTATATTGTGTTGGGTTCAAAGGCCTGTAACATCTTATGGTTTACTGGCTTATTATTGAATTACCATTGTATTCCCTAGAGTTATTTCCTTTTTAAGAACCTATCCAGTGTGTATCTATGGCAGTGCCTAGAACAGTCTGGAATTATATACATAGCATTAGTGCGTGTGGGGAAAATTAAATACAGTGGTTAAGCATTCAGCCTATACCATAAAATTGTCTGTATTAAAAATCTAATTTTGCTATGTACTAATTGTGTCCTTGAGAAAGTTATTTAACATTTTAAGAGGCTTAATTTCTCTAAATATAATATGTGCATGGCAATACAACCTACTATATTTTAGAACTGTTTTAGGAATTAAATGAACTATAACATATAAACTACATTAGGTATTTCCTAGGATTTAAGCTTATTTTAATTGTTTTTAGTATAATATAGAATTTAGATTATTATTATATTTTAATATTTGGAATTAATTGATGGTTTCACATATTACCAGCTAAATATAAAAAGAGAAGTATAATGATATTTTCCCATTTTTGTGTCCATTTCTTATTCACATACCTCAGACTCTGACACCCAGACCTTTCTCCTTCAAGCTTTTCGATAGCTCTAGAAGTTGTTGATGTCTCAGGGAAATTCTTTCTTCTTACTTTTCTCCTACTTTTGTATCTTTTCTTCAACCTAGTCTTCTTTTGTATTCTCTTGAACTTTGTCCTATATTGGTTGTTTGTTAAGGCAAATATTTAAGGAACTAAAATGGACAAAAATAGAGGAAAATTCTCTATTTCATCTTCTCAATCAGTTATACTTCTCTTTGGGGTAAGAGATCGTTATCCTCATTCAATGAAAAATAAGTAGCCTCAAGGAAAGTTCTCTTCCAGAATGTGCTGACCTTTAGAATGAAGGACAGCAGGACTGTCAGTGAAGCATGACGCATTTATACAGACGGATGTGCAAACAATTACTCACACTTGCATCTTCACTGACTTTAGAGTTGCCCCACATACTGAATATAAGACAGAAAAGAATTATGGGCTCTATTTGCAGCTTTGATTCAGAGAATCTAAGTTACTCATCTTAACATCAGACTTGTACTTTGGAATGTTCAATTTTTTTTTATTCCAAAAAGGAATTGAAGAATTAGCAATGGAAGCTTATTTTTAAGATTTCTCTTAAAAAGGCTAATCAGATATTTTATAGAGGGAGGAAAACTGAGTAAATTAGGTTTAATTTGGAGATAGTCATATCTGAGTTGAGAATTTAGCTTGAATAATTCACTAATACATGGTTTATCTTTTGAAAGTTGCTACATTCATATAGAATAATTTAAGATAATGACAAAGGCACATATATAATATGTTATTTTATAGAGCAAAGATGTCATTGAATAATTTTTTTATTGAATAATTTTTAATAAAATAGTCACTGTGAGCATGGTTCATAGTGTGAGCTTGAAATTTGTGTTTAGAACTGAGCCTAAATATTTCACATGCAATTTAGCAAGTATAAAGTTATTCAATATGTGCTAAGGTACTTAAAAATAATTTACTCAAGTCATATAATTTACATTTTTTGATTGATGAAGGGAAGAATTAAAGTAGATATTTATTCACTAGTAATTATTTTAGTATTTACATACTAATCCTACTAAATATTAGGTTACTGTGTCCAAATCTTTTGGTTTTCAGAGATAAATTCTCCCTTATATTAAAATACAATTTTAATTGTTTTTCCAAGGCAAAAAACACTTCAAGGCAGCACTGACTCCATAGTATTAAAGGGAATAAAATAATAATTTTCCTTAACTTGATAATAAGGTGGTGAGAAATGATAAAAAGGGATTCTTATTTAACCAGCTCAGAGTATAAGTCAATGTTGTATGATGAAAATTAAGGAAAGGTTTCTAAACAGAAAGAACTAGTCTTTACGGATTTCAAAGATAGGAGGAAAGAGTAGAGAGAAAAAAATAAGTAACTAGATGCTGGGAAAGGTGGAAGGTCGGCGAAGAGAAAGACCCTCAAAAAGGTGTATTGATATGGTGACTGCTGCAATGGACTCTTGTATGTCTCAAAGTGTGAGGATGGCACAGCATAGAACAGGGTCAAATCTTTTCTTCATAGAGTCACTATAAGTTATGATTGACTTGATGGCACCTAACAACAATAACAGACAATAAATGTGTACTAAGTTTGGTGAACAGAAGGTTATATACATAATATGGAAGGCTCAGTAAAATATCACTCAAAAAGGGAAAACATAGAGAAGTATCCAAGAGATTCTGACACAAAGATATACTTTACACATATGTAGTCCTTAATTGTAAGTAATGTCAAATATTATTATACAGATAAGTACATAGGCAGACAGACAAGAAAAACAGTCAAAGACAGGTAAAGGGACTGCTATTATGGCTGTACGCAGGGTTGGCCAATGATATTTCTACATATATATTTATAGATGCTGTAAATAATTCCCTGTATATTGTAAGTCCAGGAAGAACTAAAAGAAGATGGAAAAAAAATATACTGAGTCACTGTATCAAAAGGAATTGGCAAACACAGAAGAATTTAAGGAAATAACATATGAGTAAGGGCCTATAGTGATGAAGGAAGAAGTTCAAGCTGCTTTGAAGGAAATAGCAATAAATAAGGCCCCAGGAATAGATGGTATACCAATTGAAGTATTTCAGATAACAGATGTTGCCCTGGATGTGCTCACCAAGTTGTGCCAAGAAATCTGGAGA